ACTGACCTTCTGTTGAAAGCTAGGTTGCTGTGATCACATCCAATCTCAAAGCTTAAACAGGATCAACTCAAGCTGGGCAAGTATCTGGTAATTCAGTAGACGATCTTGTTCCCTCTAAATTTCCATCAAATCCATGTCCAAGAGAAATGCTTGGCAGAGTGGCTGGAGGTGTCGAGTCAGACTGAGGGGGGTGCGGGGGGGCGAGTACAGTAGAACGAACTGTTTGATTCTGTTATTTTGTTTGTTGCACTATGTGAATGAGAGAGAAGTGATGTTTGGCTTGGCTTTTTAATAGCAAAGCAGGTATAGTGCGAGCAGAAGAAGAAATTGAGTAAACAGTGAACAAAGTCTCATAAAATTTGGGGGTTTAATCCTCAGGTGATTATTAAAGGGATTTTCAGTGATATATACACTGTATTTTAACCAGCCAAGGTTTTCAAGAAAAGCTCTGCTAGCTAGCCACACTCTTACTCTGTCTGGGAAGCACTATGTGTATTTATAGCACCATTTTAGTCATTAATAATATCGACCTAGTTCAGTTGACAGAGGTCACTGGGACAGTGGAGTGAGGTGTACAGACACACGGTAATGGAAGCAAAAATTACAGAGGGAAAAGCTTGTTGAATCTCCTCATTCATCCAGGACCTGTACAGAGGTACTGAACAAAGAATTTTGAGGACAAAATCCTGTGGCTAAAAATCACAAAATTCTGTGCATTTAGAGTCTGAAAAAACTGACACAGACCAGGGTTCCCTCTAACTTTTTCCATCCATGTGTGGAATAAATGTTATCTGCATCCAGACATGAAGATATGGAAACATATACTGTGGGTGCTCTGTTAATCAGCTGGGCAGTATTTGACTGTCATGAGTGGCTGCTAGGGATGTTAATAGCAGTTAATTAGGTAGCTGTGTAACTTACAACTGTGTAAATTACATGCTGCGGGGTTCCTGGGAGCGAGGAGCTTTATACTGCAGAACCTGCAGCGCTGGATAGCTGCTGGCCCCCTGAAAGTAGGGCCAGGATCCGGGGTGTAACTGGTATGGGAACCAATACAGTCATGCTTCTCTGTTAACTGTTTAAACTGTTGCGCTAGTGCATCCTTGGTGGCCGCCAGTGTTCGTGGCACAGCTTCACAGGTGATTAATCAGCTTTGCCCAGTCAGAGGCTCAGGGCTCCCTGTGTGGAGCTGACTGACTGGGCAGGGCTGATTAATCACCTGTCGCACAGCTTAGAGGGAACACAGGAGGCCATCCAAGCACACAGTATACAGAGAACACTGTCACAGACTCAGGAAAAGCCTGTTTAAAAGATTAAGGAATGAAGATCTTAAAACATGTTATGGGATGATGGGAGAAGGGCAGAGACTTGAAAATTCTTTGCACTTCAGGAATGGAACTAAATGAGGAAAATGTAAGTGAAACTTTGTACAGAAGTGATTCTTCTCTGAGAACCAGAGAGAAAATTAGCAGAGTTGAGAGATGTGGTTCCACCCGGGAAAATGATTTTCTAAAAGTTTGTTTAGACTGGAACGTAAAGGTGTGGTGTTAGCTAATGTGATTCCAAAGGCAAGTGTAGATTTGGCATGCTGCATTCAAGTGACTTAATGTGGTACACTTGAATTTGCGTGCCCCCCCGCCACCATGCGACAGGGCCCCGAACCTGGCGTATGGCTGAGCCCGACCCTGGGAAGAGGGGGGGAGCTTGTACCGCGTCTTCCCCTGTTCCTTTTGGTTTGGGGCGGGCACTATCACGCTGTTGAAAATGGAGGAGGGTGGGGTTAGGGGTGGAGAGGTGGGGAAGACGCTTCAGCAGGCAGTGGTGGGTGGAGGAGGAGCAGGCAAGCCGAGGGATGATAGGGGGAGCGGAGGTGCAGTTACCCCCACACACCTCCTTTGCTACGTCAGTGAATGTAAGAGATTAATTTTCCTGTTAAAATCACACTCAGAAAAACTTTTAAATAAAACTAACACACGAGAATCACCCTCACTTTCTTGAAGGTACTTGATGCAATAAGCAGCCTAAGGCTGAGGTTACGCTGCAAGCACAGCTTTCTGTCTGCCACAAGGACTTTTTCCTTCAGGCTGCTGTGAAATTTTATCCTTAAGTAAAGGAGAGAGAGGTCTCTGAGCTGCTCTTCCAAATTTCACACAAGCCATTCAACTGAAGCCATAGATACCAAGATTCAAAGCCAGCCTTGCCTTTGGCAGACTGCCTCGCCAGGTATTCACAATCACAACATCCGAACATGTATAAGACTTTTAGTTGAGAAAGCCACGTTAATCCCAAGTCTCTGCTAGGACTGGGAGATGTGGGTGAGCTACAGAAAACACCAGCACTTTCTTTAGAAAATCCACAACAAAACGTGGGGGGGGATCTGTCACCTCAGTAATGCCAACTCCTTTAGAACTGAGGCCCCTATTATCCAGCACCAGCTGAGGTAGAGAGGGCACTGTGTGCACGTCTGATATATTTTTACCAAAACTGCTGCCTGCCCAACTTGCCAAAGGAGAAAGGAAACAGGGAGACCAGAAGGAATGGTTTAGAGCAGTGTTTCTCAACCTTTTTTTAAAATAAAGTCCCCCTTTAAAAAAAGTGCCCCCAGTACCTAGTTTTCAGACACACACATTTTTTTCTACCATTTCAATATATTTGTTTAAACAACTTCATCATATCCCTACCACTCCTTACAAGGTACATTGCCCATGGAGGTCAGTTGGGTTGGGCTATCTTATATGTAAAGGTACTGAGAAATGTATATGTCAATACCATGATGGCAATGCCTCATGTAAATAATACCAAATAATAATTGCCAAATGAGACCACTTCCCAAAATATTTTGATATGACCCGAAAAGATCCAGATAACATTTAGTCACCCTTCAAACATATAAGGGACCAATCAGTAAAAAGCCCCACTGCCTGGTAGAGGCGATTTTGAAGAAAATTGGAGAAACTTTGAATTTACTTTTTCTGATAGCAGCGCTTTCTCTCACTGAATGTGGGGTCTTCAGCACAGGTTTCACTTTGTGTCAGAATAACTCAGAAATGTGTTGTCACAGCTAACTCCATTCAGGTCAAAGCACCATGCATCCCAAAGACAGAAGAACAAATCCCTCGAAACTGGAAGTCAAAACATCTCACCTCTTCACAGAGCTCACAAAGGGACACCCAGAGACACGAGTCATGACAACTCTCTCTGGAGAGAGACCATACATCCTGCCTCTCTGTGGACGCACCAAGTGTTTTCACGTGGCATCTTACCATGCTCTTTAAATCAACTGCTTGGATGAGGAAGACTCACAAAGAGTCTGTCCATCATCCACTCTGGAGCAACATGGTGATTTCACCGTCGTGGTAACAGACCTGATCTCCCTGTGGTCTCTTGTGGAGCAGCAGGGAGCCTGCAGCGATCTCTCGGGGGGAGAGGCCAGGGGTGCCTCTACTGCAGTGGTTCTCAAACTTTTTGGCCCGTGGACCACGTGTCTCAATGTAAACCTTTCTGTGGACCACCAGTTGCTAATGGAAACTCACTTTTAATTACACAATTATGCCCAAGCCATTTTGCTAGTGCTGCAACTAGGGAGAATGGTTTAATTTCAATTATTAAAGAGATTAAACATTTTAAATTTCTCATGTTAATTTATCAAACTTCATTTTAAATACAATAAAATATGAATTTATGTCCAATACAAAAGATTTCAATGTTTTCTTTACTTATGGCAGGGGTAGGCAACCTTTTTTGGGTCGGAGCCACTGACCCACAGAAAAATCAGATGGGGACTGCACAAGTGAGAAACAAAAAAACTCCTAAAACCCCAACCCTCTCTCAGGTGGCCCCCAGCTGAGACACCTCACTCCTCTGGCATTCCAGTCCCAAGGGGGGAAAGGAAGGGACAGGGAGAACTGAGGTTCAGGGCTTCCCATAGGTTGATCTGAGGAAGTGGGTCTGGCCCACGAAAGCTCATCATCTAATAAACCATCTTGTTAGTCTTTAAAGTGCTACATTGTCCTGCATTTTCCTATAGGTTAGATTTTCTTTTCTGAGAAATTTTATGGACCCCTTAGGTTCTAAAGTGGGGACAAAAATAAGGGGTTCAGGGTGTGTGAGAGGGCTGACAATGAGTGGAATAGGGATCGGGTGCAGGATCTGGGAGGGAGGTGGGGGGCAGAATGGGGAGAGGTTGCGAGGTCTGGGTGGGACGTAGGGTGCAGGAGCAGGCTGGGTGTAGGGTGTCTGGCCAGGGGGAGGGAGCAGGAACAGATTGGGGGTAGGGTGTCTGGCTAGGAGGGAGGGTGCAAGGAGGGGACTTGGGTAGGAGTTGGACCTCCCTGGTCTGGCACCCTCTGGATCTGACTGGTCCCAGATGAGGGATTTTGTGGACCAGGAAAGGTAATTTCAGGGCTCCTGGTGCCACTTCCTCCCTACTAGGCTTCTTTGCACCTCCATCCCCTGCAACCTAGCTGAGCTGCCCACCCCTGCTGGTTCCCTGCGCCTCCTCCACAATCCAATGGAGCACAGCACCAGTTCCCTGCATCCCTTCGCAGCCGAGCTGAGCCCTGTTTCCCTGTACCTCCCCCCAAACCACACAGACCTACTGAACCCAGCACTGGTTCCCTGTCCCTCCCTCCTTGAGTCCAGCCCCAGGTTCCCGGCACCTCCCTTCTTCCGCAGCCCAGCTGAGCTCTGTGCTCCACACCTCCCCCCCAGCCCAGCTGAGCACGCACCCAGCACCTCCCACAGCCCAGGTGAGCTCCCTGCCCAGCCCCTACCCTCTGGAGGGGGAAGGGAAACAGCAGCGTGCAGCCGCTTCAGGCTGCAGCAGCTGTTTCCAGGACATTTTCAGTGTTTATGGGGGCACTGGGAGATGAGATTAAAATGTGCAAATATCCTGGATTTTATGGGGCATATGGTCAGCATAGGCTGTGCACTCCGCTCCCACCCCAGCCTGGCGCCTCCCTAGCATGGCACCCGGGGGCAACTGCCCCTCCCGGCCCCCCCCTTCGCTACGCCTCTGACTTGAAATCTCAGTGTGGAATGGGGATGGCTTTAACTAGACAACAACATATGTTTATGTCCCTTGTCTACATGAGGCTTTACAAAATGTTAGCTATCACACGCATCACACATTTAAATCCTACTCTACACATGGCCAGAATGGCCCCATAGGGTTCTCTGATTCATGTCCCATCCTCCCCAAAGGGAATGAGAAGGCCTCTTTGTTTGGAACCTTAATGTTCTGTTAAGGCAGCCTCGCAGAATTCTACTTCTACCTCTCACGGGCAAGTACAGGCTAGGAAACTTAATTAATAGCTTTTCCTTATCACAAGGGTGGGCAAAGTAGGTTTTGTGCGTGGGCCAGTAAGGACAAGCATGCAAGGCTCTGTGTAGGGTGCCAGTTCCCATGTTAGCAGGAAAGCAAGGCACCAATAGCGCACTTAGTGATGCTGGGGACAGAGCGGAATCACTAGTGACTGTGTCAGGCTTCCTTGGCCCTGTCGCCCATTGATTCGGTAACGAAGTGCGTGTGACAGACTTGTGTAGGAAGGTGTCTGGCCAGGGTACTGTCTAGTGCAGGAGAAGGGGGAGCGGCTGGCGGAGAGAAGCCAGCTGGAGCTTGAACCAGGAGTGACGTGACCTAGAAACCTCTTCATCAGCTTTGTCTTATTTTCCAGGCCTATCATGACTCTGAGATTCAGTCCCTGAAGAAGTAGGTGCTCTTTGTTGCCATGACGACAGGCGACTGCTGCCATCTACCTGGCTCACTGTGCGATTGTCCGGGCAGTGCTGCGTTGTCTAAGTCGGTGGAGGACTCTGACATTGGGCGACCACAGTATGTCACCCAAGTGACTGCAAAAGATGGCCGGCTGCTCTCCACAGTCATCAAAGCCCTGGGAGCACAAAGGTAAAGATGACACAGCTGATTGGTTGGTGCATCAGCCCTCTGTTCTTCACTATGGTTGTATCTCATCCCGTTTTCCCAGGCACCCACTGGGAAGCTAACGCTGGAGTGATAGCTGCTCAGACAGATGTGTCCAGGGAAATAAAAACATGGAACCCAGTTCTAATCAAATACATGCAGTTAACTAGGTGTTTGATGTTCATTGCTTCCTAATCAGTCTACTTAGAACTGACTCCGCCTGGGCCCTGTGTGTTACAGCTGGCATCAAATGTGGCTGCAGTGAAGGTGTGACATCCACCCCCCAAAAAGCGATGGACTGGGCTACTGTGATGATTATTTAAGCCCCAAAGAATACAATTAGGGATGTTAAATTATGAATAATCAGCTAATTGAGTAGTCAGTGGGATTTCCATAGAATCATAGAATCATAGAATAATAGGACTGGAAGGGACCTCGAGAGGTCATCGAGTCCAGCCCCCCGCCCTCAAGGCAGGACCAAGCTCCACCTACACCATCCCTGACAGATGTCTATCTAACCTGTTCTTAAATATCTCCAGAGAGGGAGATTCCACCACCTCCCTTGGCAATTTATTCCAATATTTGACCACCCTGACAGTTAGGAATGTTTTCCTAATGTCCAATCTAAACCTCCCCTGCTGCACTTTAAGCCCATTACTCCATGTCCTGTCCTCAGAAACCAAGAGGAACAAATTTTCGCCTTCCTCCTTGTGACACCCTTTTAGATATTTGAAAACCACTATCATGTCCCCCCTTAATCTTCTTTTTTCCAAACTAAACAAGCCCAGTTCATGAAGCCTGGCTTCATAGGCTTCTCTAGACCTTTAATCATTCTTGTCACTCTTCTCTGTACCCTTTCCAATTTCTCCACATCTTTCTTGAAATGTGGCGCCCAGAACTGGACACAGTACTCCAGCTGAGGCCTAACTAGTGCAGAATAGAGCGGCAGAATGACTTCACGAGTTTTGCTTACAACACACCTGTTGATACAACCTAGAATCATATTTGCTTTTTTGGCAACAGCATCACACTGTTGACTCATATTCAACTTGTGGTCCACTATGACCCCTAGATCCCTTTCCGCCATGCTCCTTCCTAGACAGTCGCTTCCCATCTTGTATGTATGGAACTGATTGTTCCTTCCTAAGTGGAGCACTTTGCATTTCTCTTTATTAAACCTCATCCTGTTTACCTCTGACCATTTCTCTAACTTGCTAAGGTCATTTTGAATTATGTCCCTATCCTCCAAAGAAGTCGCAACCCCACCCAGTTTGGTATCATCTGCAAACTTAATAAGAGTACTCTCTATCCCAATATCTACATCATTGATGAAGATATTGAACAGTACGGGTCCCAAAACAGACCCTTGAGGAACTCCACTTGTTATCCCTTTCCAGCAGGATTTAGAACCGTTAACAACAACTCTCTGACTACGGTTATCCAGCCAATTATGCACCCACCTTATCGTGGCCCTATCTAAGTTATATTTGCCTAGTTTATCAATAAGAATATCATGCGAGACCGTATCAAATGCCTTACTAAAGTCTAGGTATATGACATCCACCGCTTCTCCCTTATCCACAAGGCTCGTTATCCTATCAAAGAAAGCTATCAGATTAGTTTGGCATGACTTGTTCTTCACAAACCCATGCTGGCTATTCCCTATCACTTTATTACCTTCCAAGTGTTTGCATATGATTTCCTTAATTACCTGCTCCATTATCTTCCCTGGGACAGACGTTAAACTGACCGGTCTATAATTTCCTGGGTTGTTCTTATTCCCCTTTTTATAGATGGGCACAATATTTGCCCTTTTCCAGTCTTCTGGAATCTCCCCTGTCTGCCATGATTTTTCAAAGATCATAGCTAAAGGCTCAGATACCTCCTCTATCAGCTCCTTGAGTATCCTGGGATGCATTTCATCAGGACCTGGTGACTTGCTGACATCTAACTTTCCTAAGTGATTTTTAACTTGTTCTTTGTGTATCCTATCTTCTAAACTTACCCTCTCTCTGCTTGTATTCACTACGTTAGGCACACCTCCAGACTTCTCGGTGAAGACCGAAACAAAGAAGTCATTGAGCATCTCCGCCATTTCCAAGTTCCCTGTTACTGCTTCTCCCTCCTCACTAAGCAGTGGGCCTACCCTGTCCTTGGTCTTCCTCTTGCTTTTAATGTATTTATAAAAGGTCTTCTTGTTTCCCTTTATGCCTGTAGCTAGTTTGATCTCATTTTGTGCCTTTGCCTTTCTAATCTTGCCCCTGCATTCCCGTGTTGCTTGCCTATATTCATCCTTTGTTAGTTGTCCTAGTTTCCATTTTTTATATGACTCCTTTTTTATTTTGAGATCATGCAAGATGATCTACTACTTGGTTAGCCGATGGGGGGTACTCACTACCTCCACTGTGGCTCTGCAGTTTAAAAGCAGTAGGAGCTGGATGGCTCTTACTACATTTAAAAGGCAGAGCCACTGTACCTCTCTCTCCTGCCCCCTCCCACCATGGAGACAGTGCTGGGGGAATTAGCTTTTAAGTCAGCTCCACCCAGCACCGGCTCCTACTCCCCCCTTTGCTACCTCTGATATAGAGGCAGCAGGGGGAGAGGGGGAAATGCAAGTAGTCAACTCGACTACCCGATAAGCCTAGGTTTATCAGGTAGTCAGCTATTCGACTATTCTTTTTACATCCCTAAATACAATTTCTCCTCCAAGAAGCCTGTGTCAAGTGCACATGTAGATTGTATAGTGCCCTTTCTCCCTGGCATATTGGAACTGGAGGGCACTTCCATTTCATAGAATCATAGGGTTGGAAGAGATCTCAGGAAGCCTTTGAGTCCAACCCCCTGCTCTAAGCAGGCCCTATCCCAACCAGGGCTGTGTCAAGCTGGGACTTAAAAACCTCCTGGGATGGAGATTCCGTCACCTCCTTAGGGAACCCATTCCAATGCTTTGCCACTCTCCTAGTGAAATAGTTTTTCCTAATACCCAACCTAGACCTCCCCCACTGCACCTTGAGACTGTTGCTCCTCAGTCTGTCATCAGCCACCACTGAGAACAGCCTCTCTCCATCATTAACTTACCCTGAAGGGGGTTCCAGAAAAGGCTATCCATCCTCCCTCTCTCTCTCTTCTCTTCCTTAGACTAAATGAGCCCAAATTCCTCAGCCTCGCCTCATAAGTCATATGCTTCAGCCCTCTTACCATTTTTGTTGCCCTCTGCTGGACTTTCTCCAATGCATCCACATCCTTTCTGTAATGTGGGGCCCAGAATTGGATGCAGTACTACAGATGTTGCCTCCCCAATGCCGAATAAAAGGGAATAATCACTTCCCTAGATCTGCTGGCAATGCACCCCTTTATATTGTTAGACTTCTTGGCTACCCGAGCATACTGACTCATATCCAGCTTCTCATCCACTGTAATCGCAGGTCCTTTTCTGCAGATCTGCATCTTAGCCAATCAGTCCCCAGCCTGTAACAGTGCTTGGGATTCTTCCATCCCAAGAGCAGGACTCTGCACTTGGCCTTGTTGAACCTCATCGGATTTTAGGTTCAATCCTCCAATTTGTTTAAGTCACTCTGGATCCTATCCTGACCTTCCAGCGTATCTACCTATCTCCCTTACGTTAGTGTCATCTGCGAACTTGCTGAAGGTGCAGTCCATCCCCTCAACCAGGTCATTAATAAAGATGTTGAACAAAACTGGCCCCAGTACTGACCTCTGGAGCACTCCGCTTGATACCGACCACCAAACAGACATTGAGCCGTTAATCATTACTCATTGAATCTGACAATCTAGCCAGCTTTCTGTCAACTTTACAGTTCGTTCATTGAATACATACTTCTTTAACTTGCTGGCAAGAATACTGTGGGAGACTCATATCACTATTTTTCCTAAAGTCAGGGAATAGCACATCCACTATCTTCCCCATATCCACTGTCTTTACCTCATCATAGAAGGCAATCAGGTTCATCAGGCATGATTTGTCCTTGGTGAATCTATGTTGACTATTCCTGATCACCTTTCCCTCTTCCAAGTGCTGCAAAATGGATTTCTTAAGGATCCCCTCCATGATTTTTCCAGGGACTGAGGTGAAGCTGACCAGTCTGTAGTTCTCCAGATTCTCCTTTTTCCCTTTTTTTAAAAAGATGGGCAATATATTTGCCTTTTTCCAATCGTCCAGGACCTCCCCCTAACACGAGTTTTCAAAGATAACAACCAATGACTCTGCAATCACATCAGCCAACCCTCGGATGCATTAGATCCATCCCCACAAATTTGTGTATGTCCAGCTTTTCTAAAAAGTTCTTAACCTGTTCTTTCTCCACTGAGGGCTGCTCACCTCCTTCCAGTAGTCTGCTGCCATGAGCTGACCTTGTCTGTACAAAGGCAAAAAAAGCATTGAAGAAATTATGGTTTCCAAGTATAACACATGTATGATTCTTGTGTATATGAATATCCCAGTTACTCACAAAATGGGCAGCCAGTATGAAGTGCCTGAGAGCTAGAGAGGATGTTGTGTGTCAGTTGAGACCCTTCATGAGTCTGGATACAATCTAACCACGCTTGTAAAATGTAAAGCTATATTTTTAGAGCGTGTTTACAGTTTTTTTCACATCTGACTTCCACTTTGTCCTCCACAGACTAGATTGTCTTAATGGACCTGTGGGCTTGTTGATTCAACAGTCAAATGGCAGTGAAATGTGCTGAATGTTTTTTTGGTTTTTTTTGGGGGGTGGGGGCCCTCAAAAAAGTTCAAATATGCTGGCTCATCTGAGTCTCCATCTACAGAAAACATTGGCCTCGCATTCAACTCAGCTCGTGATTTGATCAGAGATTTTAATTTCAAATCCTGCCTGAGTGTCAGTTATTCTATTCCATGTCTAATCTATCCATAAACTACAAACAAAGAATTGATGAAGAGTGGAAAATGGGGACTGTGAATATGTGGAAGGAAGAGCTAGTCACAGATGTTGACAAAGCAAAATTCAGTACTTTGTCTATCAAGGCCTGGTAGTGGCCTGGTAGTCTACACTGAGATGGAGGCTGCCATCTTTCTTCTTCAGAAAGAGAAAATACATCCTAGCAGATGAGGTGGATTTAGGGATGAAAACCGTGATCAAACTGTCCTGCGTGTATGCACGTAAGGTAGCTAGCTCAGGTTCAAACAAGGCATGTAGCAGGCCAAGTGGTACTATCTCTCCGGGCTGTATGTTTATAAAACCGTTGTAGTTCCAATGGTGAGGTAGGGAGTCCACATTTTTTCTTTTCAAATACATCATTTGGTGGGAAGTTAATAGAGGATTCCAGCTCCCATCTCTGTTAGACCAGTCGCTACCTCCTGTGGGGCCAGGGTGTCTTCTGGGTGTTCCCTCTTCAGTGGATGTAAGCAGCTGAGGTTGGCCCAGGATCCTTAGCCTAACAGGCACTTGGAGTTGTGTTATCATCTGGTGGGATCTGGTTCAGGACCCCATCAGGATTCAGACTTGGGGTAACATCTTGCCCTTGTGCCCAGCTTAGACCAGGACTGGGTTGACTTGGTCTCCAGACCCTTTTGAGTCAATCTTTGGGCCAGACGGGTGAAGATAAAGTGGACTAGTTGGCCATTATAGAGCACGGATTGGGGTGTTATCATCAGTCTTTTTCTTCAGAGTTAAGTTGTCAACAGGCAGAGTCTATTTGCGTGTGCTTGGCATACCGAACAGGGATTGGTGGCTGTGGTGCGTGCACACCAGGGACGTGGAAACTCGCTTTTCTCCTCACACCTTTCCCGCAACTGGTTGTCACATTGTAAAGTCAGCTCTGCACAGGTGCCCAGACCTGCTGTGGTTTTGCTGGGGCCAGACCTCACTCAGGTCCCACTGGAAGTGGAATATGTGGGCCACCTCATTCCACCCTGTGTCCGATGCCAGTCGGCAAAAGTGGGCTGCATATGCAGCAGCAGCATCTTGCCCCTGTTGGAGCTTCCTGAGGGCAGCCACAGCCATTCGAACATGGTGAGGGTTAACAGTGCTTGTGAGAAGGTGTCCCAGCTGGTTAGAACTAGACTAATGCTTTCTAGTAGTGGGAGGTCCAGTCCCTTGCCTGTGCCTACCTTGGCCTGTTCAGAAGCCTGGATTCAAGACTTGGGACGTCACCCTGGGTGGGAAACAGCTCATACCTTTAAATCATGTGGATGAATCCAGAGCATAAAAATGTGATAGTGGAAACAAACAAACCTACTACCACAAACCAAACAGCAGATACACTGCTGTGTTGTGCCTTATTGCACCACAAAGGTGGGCACATCTGGGCTGCCAGTCTGTCCCCATCCCGACTCCTCCTTGCCATGGGTTGGGGCAGCCACTTACAAGTGGGAGGTGATGATTGTGCTTTGGCAGGCAGGGGGACATGCTTGCCAGCTCAGAGCCCAGGAAAGACCCTTCCTAAGCTGCGACTGCAACCTGGCCTGGAGAATAAAAGTGGCTGGAGCTGAAGCCTGAGCCAGAGCTCCAGCCTGCACAGTTTGCTCTGGCCTAGGGATGTTAAATATTGGTTGATTGAATAGTCAATTAACCTCATGAATTCTTATCAGTTAGTTGACTATTCTATAGTGCCTGAGAGGGGCTGGCAGCCAGCACACTCTGGCCCCACTCTTGAGGAGCCCGCGGCCACTCCACACTGCTGCCTCTGATAGAGATGCAGTAACGCGGGGTGGCAGCGGGCTTCCAGGGAGAGGGGCTGGAGCACACTGGCTGCCAGCCCCGCCTCCAGCCCTGAAATATCTAGCCTTATTTTGAAATAACTTAGTCCACATCTACACAGCAGGCAGTTATTTGGAAATAATGTTGAAATACTGTCAAGCTGGAGGACTTCTTACTCTGACTCCTGCAACCCTCATTGTGAGAGGAAGAACGCTCTGTTTCGAAGTAAGTGCTGGTTAGAGGCTCCCGATTTCAAAATAAGCTCCGCAATTGACGTCACTCAATTTGTGTAGCTTACTTTGAGTTAAGCCCTGCTGTGTGGATTTACCATTGGAAGGGACCAAAGTGCACTGATGTTACAGTGCCCCAGGGAGTCTCACTCTAACCCTTGCAGTCAAGGTTAGAACCAGCCTGCCCGCATTCTGGGCAGCCTGCATCCCATAACAGCTTGTTCAGAGTTAGGAGCCAATCTGTTCCCGAGGTGTCCGTAACCCTGAGATTCTGCTGTGCTTTGCTGCTTGGCTCAGATACTTGGTGAAGTATGTGAAACGAAAGAGTTGTTGAAAGTAAACTAGGAAGAGATGGAAGGAACTAGGCTACTGATAATGTAGACTGTCCTGCCACAGCCACTGACCACAGGATCTCCTGAAATCAAACAATGCCAGGAACAGTGTGACTGATCTTAAAAGCACGGGAGACAGGTCAGGGCTGGGTTAGGGTTGTTTTTTTATTTTGAAAGCTTTTCAGCTGATATTGTTTGTTGGTAGCCAAGGTGCTATTACGATGCTGATCCAAACAGGATGAGAGTTGTTCACAGATCCCGTTCAATTGACGATGTGTTTCCTATGGCACATACAGTGCCCTTGGGAGCCCTGAACTTGGTGTGCAATTGGCCTGAGATGGGCAGCTGAGGGACTTCCTAGTGAGCAAACTGGCATGGGCAGTGTGTGGAAAGGGAGACTTGCTTCAGTGTCAGCATAGCCTGTGTAGGACAGGGCTGCACCCCCTAATTCTGGCAGCATTGGAGAGTGGTGCTGACCCTCCCTAGCCCCTGCTATTGTTAGCCAAAGGCCCTGACCTTCCCTCTCTCTATCAGAGAAGCTGGGTACAAGGTGGCACCTGCTGCCTCCTGCTCTCCCCACTCCCTGTCTCAGAACCTGTCTATCTTGGGTGTTTTAGGACACCCAGGATCTAGGTGTGCACCCCCTAATTCTGGCAGCATTGGAGAGTGGTGCTGACCCTCCCTAGCCCCTGCTATTGTTAGCCAAAGGCCCTGACCTTCCCTCTCTCTATCAGAGAAGCTGGGTACAAGGTGGCACCTGCTGCCTCCTGCTCTCCCCACTCCCTGTCTCAGAACCTGTCTATCTTGGGTGTTTTAGGACACCCAGGATCTAGGTGTCTGTGGCCCTCCCCATCTGGAGAACAGGATTTCTTGTGTCTGTAGCAGGCTCCCATTTCAGCAGCAATAACCTTCCTGCCTGCACATTCCTCCCTGATGCTGATTCCATTAAACACAAACCCTGCCTTGGAGCATTATTAACCAGCTGAAGGCCTTCTATTTACAGGCTGTACTGGAGCTCCACCAAGAAATCCTGCAGCAGCAGAGGGCTAAGAGCCTTCGGAACAGGACAACAGGCTAGGACCTAGCTTCCTACTCTCCTACTTGCCCTCATCTGGAATTGGGAACAGTACCGTGGGCTTGTGTCTCTGATCATCTCTCCTCCTTTTCAAGAAGAGCACTTTCCTGCCATGCCGCTCCAACCTCTGCTATTTGGCATTTTCCTCCACTCTTGATCCCAATATGTCTGTCTTAGGTGCAATTTCAAACCCCTGGGGATATGGTTAATACATTGTATTATTACTAAACCGCTGTCTGTGTGCAAGGTGCAGCCTCTCCCAATGTGTAGGAAGAAATAACTGCTAATCCCGCAACGTTGGTGACTTGGTATTATACATGGACAGTGCACAGATGGAAGATGGAGCTGGCTGCAGTGTGGTGGACAGAGAAGTTTAGTATGCTAGTAATTTATTGGATGCTGCTTTATTTATTCACGTGACATTTTACTGTTAGGAGCCCGGCTTCTGTTTTTATTTTGACTGCAACCTTGGACTTCAGGTCTTGCTGGTCTTGATCACGCCTGTGTTGGAGTGGGAGGGGGGAAGCAAGTGGCATCTGGGTGATCTGATCTTTAATATTGCAGTTTCATGACTTGAACGATTGCTGAGCTGAGACCCTAATCTCCTTGGTGAGCTATTTCTGTGTACAGTGTATGCTTTAAAGGGAAGACTGAATCTGTCTTAATCTGGTGCTTTTTAGAAGCTTCCCTGGTGCCCAGGTAGCTGTTCTGGACTCTGCTCTACTGTAAGATTGCTCCCTCATTATGTACTAAGATGTAGAGCTTAGTAACATCCTTGCTGTTATTGACGTGTCCCAACTGTGTCTTTTCAAAGCTGTTTCTGCTGCCACCACAACAGTTCCCCCAGTCTCCAGCACAGTAGCATTAGCATGCCCTTGTGGACATGGTGGGATGTGTATCTGTGTTCCCTGCCCAGTCTGACAGCAGTTTCATCCCATTATTTGCCTCTTTCTTTAGTGATGGTCCCATCTGTCGAATCTGCCATGAAGGTGGAAATGGGGAGGGGCTGCTTTCTCCCTGCGACTGCACAGGAACATTGGGGACCGTGCACAAGAGCTGCCTGGAAAAATGGCTCTCCTCCTCCAACACTAGTTACTGTGAGCTCTGCCACACTGAATTTGTCGTGGAGAGAAGACCAAGGCCACTCACAGAGGTACCACTTCCCTCCTGCTTGGCTCTTCATATGTTCTTTTCTTTACCCTTTGAAGGAAAATGACAGATGTAATGGCATTTAATCCAGTACTCTGGGCTACTGTCAGGTCTCCTGGGCCATACATTCTGGCTATCTGTAAAGCTTTGTATTTAGCAAAACATGAATCCTCTCCTGCCTTCAGTGTTTTCTAAAAAATTAACCTTGAACCTGCATAGTTTTATTTTAAAAGTTTCATGGCTTAGTGTAGGTCCTACATCTATATGAAACAGTCTTCTAGGGTCACATGGAGGATCATTCTCAACCAGAGCTGTGTTTTGGATATAAAAATGCTCTGACATAGTAACTTGAGCTGTAAGAAATCTATGAAAGAGCAGAGTTCGTGACTTTGGACTGCCTGGGAGTTGGCTGAAAGTCAGGCGTATTCTCTAGAGGAGAGTTGGAGAATAGGGTGAGGTTAAGAGATTTATTATTAGCCTCTTTAGAGGCAGACACAATTGTGTGAATGAGGTGGCCAGAGAACTATAAATTTGCCTTTATGGTAGAGATTGCAAACAAAAATACTGTGGAAATGCAGAATTGATGTTTCTATTTGCCCTGTTGGCCATACCTAGGTATAATTCTGTTGTCTTGTACGTGGTGTTCCCTTTATTAAATTAATGCACAGTGTAGCTTTGAGTAGTGTCCTGACGTGGAGCAGGTGGACCTGTACACTGCCTAAGGATGTTAAAGACTAGTCAACTAGTTGACTATCTGATTTCCCCCCTACTCCGCTGCCTCTATCAGATAGAGGCAGCAAAGGAGTCGGGGGAGAGGGAGTACCTCAAAGAGCAGCGCTCACAGCTGATCCCGGGATCAGCTGTGCAACGCTGCGGCGCGTGGAGCCCGAGGTCAGCTGCTGATCCTGGGCTCCAGCACCGCATTCCCATGGAACCCAGGATCAGCTGGGGAGTCCCTCACTGACCCCAGGTTCTGGGGAAATGCTGCGCGGAACCTGGAGTCAGCTGACCCCGGCTCCCGTGTGGCATATCAAATAGACAGTGCAGCATGGAGCCTGGGATCAGGAGGGACTCTGTCCCCCACGGCCCCGGGCTCCATGCTGTGCCGCCACTTTGAAATGCACAAAAGCCCCCACTGGGGACTTTTGTACATTTCAAAGCTGGCTCACCACCTGCAGCCTAGAGTCAGGGGAACTTCCCGCTGGCCCTGGGCTGCACAAGGCATTCTGCATTCCCCTCAGCAGGGGCTCTTGTACATTTCAAAGGAGGAATGCGGAAGTGCCTATCGAGTAGTCCATGGGAATTCCATAGACTACTCGACTAGTAAATTAACTGCAATTTAACATCCTTATCGCTACCACTCCCCCTACACTGGCTGGAGAAACGGCAGTGCAGCAAAGCGCTTCTTGAAGGCTTTTCCTTGCTGCTCCAGTTGGCTGTAATTGTGGCCAACAGGAACTGCAGGGAGCAGTACCTGGGAGCAGTGGGGGACATGGAGCCAGGTACAGCCCTGGGGAGCTGCGACTGGTAAGCATTCCAAGTCTGCTTCCTGGCAGTCCCCTCCCTCACAATGAACTCCTCATTTTTTACCCCACCCCAAAGCCTAGGCGTGCCCACAAAATCTTCTACCCTAGGCCCCTCTAGGCTCTGGGGTGCAAGAGCAGTGTGAGGAGAATGTGGGGAGTGTCTTTCCAGGGGCGACCCATGAACCTAGGCAAACTAGGTAGTTGCCTAGGGCGCTACTGGCCCAGGTGCCTGATGATGACGTCATGGGGCGCCGGGGCACCCCGTCATTATGTCACGGCCATTGATGGCCGTGCAGGCAGAGGCGCTGATCGCGCCTTCCACCTAGGGCACCAGCTGCCGCAGCCGGCCTCGGGCCACTGCTGTGTCTTTCTGCTTCTCAGTCAGGGGCCACATCAATGAGTTTTGCTTCTCACTTTTGTGTGGCCTCTGACTGATTTTTCTGTGGGTCAGTGGCTCCCAACTCAAAAAGGTTCCTCACCCCTGAAGTGAAAGTGCCTAGAACTACTTTGAACCAGATGCTTCTACTTTAGTAAAATCATGTCAAGTGCAGACAAAAGGCATAGTTACTCTGCAGGCTTCATCGTAGAAAACACAACTAGTATTTCAGCTATTCAGAGAGGTTTTTCAGTAACAAACAGCTAACCTCTGGAATAAAGGAGTTTACTACTGATCAAAAGAATTATTTGCTGTAATAGCTTGGTATCAGTCTGCTTGTGTGTCTGCCGCCTGTGAAATGTGTTTGCTCTAATGCAGGGCTACTCAACACGTGGGCCATGTGCGGTTCCGCGGCCCATTTGTTTGCGTCCTGCGGTGCAGTTTGGGTTGAGATGCCTTTTAGTAGTTAAATTCCTGGACTATTGATGCTTGTTAAAAGTGCTGTCCTATGGGTGGAAATCGAATAAATATTGCATTTTATTCATATCACCAGAACTGACTTAAATGGGGCTCTTGTGTTGTGTAATGTTGCCTTAATCTTTGTATTCCTGCCCGTCAGTGTGAAGGAAGCTCTTTACATATATGTTTGCATGTACATGCAACCACACTTCAGTTGAGGCCCCCAGCATGTGCTGTGGGTGTCATTGTGACCCTCGGGCTTCCAAAGTTGAGTAGCCCGGCTCTAATGGGATGCACTGCGATGTCTCTCTCTCTGGCCTCCAGGCAGAGCTATGTGAGACGAGTTATTCATTGCTAAGTCTGCTTCCTTTCTCCCGAGGGGGCGGTCTTCAAGATGCTGCTGAGTCTGTTTATATTGACATTGGCAGCCTTTTCTGGGCAAACTTCACTGTTCTTCATGGACTTCATTAATCTCGCTGGCTGCTGCTTACGAACAAAGCCGAGTGTTATTTCCCTCCCCTTTTCTGACTGTGGGGAGCTCAGGGGAAAGGGTCCACCAAAATACTTTGACATCTGTTTTTTCTTTTTGTAAACTGTTCAGTCTTTGTCCTTTCCCCCCATTTGTGCCTGAGCTGTGTCCTTTTTCCCTTCCTTGTGTCTCAGATTCAATGAGTTTGTAACTGTATGTGATTTCTCTCCTGTTTGGAGCCCTTTGTGTATCGGAATATGTCTATAGTGCTAATTGGCTCCTCCTTATTTTAACTATTAATTTAAACATCTTAACATCATTTTAACCCTGTCCTATCCTCCGCTGCAGTGTTTTTAAATTAGGGCAGTTTTTAGTTGGCCCAGCTACGTGTTATTAATAGGACATGACACTGAGTTGATTCTTGAGTCTGTGAAAGAGCTGCTGGCTGCCAGCCTGCTCCAGGAATGGATGATCGCCAGTCTCCTTTGGTATAACTTGCAGCCCCAAAAGTCTTTGATAGTGCTGCCTCTGTCGAATAACTCACCCCTGTCCCTGGAAAGCTTGTGCTCTTGGCAGTGTGACCTGCACGGAATAGTTCAGGTTTCCGGGTGTAACAAAGCAGGTGTTGGTGCTGGGGTTTGTCAGATGTGCTGCAGACTTCACAGCACCAGCTGTTGGCAATCACAGTGACAGATCTAAACAGCCACCCAAAGGTATCTTGTTTTGGGATAAAATCCACCCTGAACCATCACTAGTCTGTCTCCAGCCCAGCTAAGGTCTTAGGATCTCAGTAAAAGACAAATATTTAAGTATGTGCACTTCAATAGCAACCTTTTAAATTCCAAAACTACTTTCTCTTGCCAGTCGCCCTTGGGCCATACATACTTTGACATTCACACCTTGTTCACATATTTATAAAATTGCAAACTAAACTCTTGTAGATCCCTGTTTAGAAGTGTATGAAGCAACCTAAGGAAGAGCTCTGTTTCTGTAACCTAGGCGGTTTTGCCCTCCAGCTGTATGTCTGTTGTTGTATGTGCTGTATTCCATTGCAAAAGGGCTGCTTTTATTGCATTCATGATACTGTAATCTTTTGGACGGGTCACTTTGCACCGTATTGGAATTGCTTCCATGTTTGTTACATACAGATCTGGGCTTTGCAGTTGGTATATCCTTGCATTCTGTCTTTATGCCATAGCATCTATTGTTAATTAAAATCACTCTGAGTGTTTTCACTGGATGGAAATGTTTAAGAAACAGTTTTCACACACCCTTTAATTATCTGCTTTCCTTCTCAAAGTTAAGTCATTGTATTGCAGTAACCTTGCTGTGACCTGTTAATTATATGATAATTCAGTCTTTAACTAGTCCTGTTAACTGATCAGATTCACCTAATTTAGTTTGGGGTTTTTTTTGTCTTCCATGGATCTCAGTATTTTTGATACCATGAGTTTGTCTTGCAGTTTCTTTCCTCTTTCTGTGCCAGTGGCAGTGTATTGCATGGGCCTGCCAACGGTGATGATTCGGGGAGCCTCTATATTGCTGTTGCATTCTGTTCAGTACTGTGGAGTGCCTATGGCTATGTGTCCTCTACTGCTGATCCAGCTTTACGCATATCCTGCTCCAGCCCAGGCACAACGGTCGTCCTTAGAACCCAACAGCCACCTATTCAGGGAGAAGCTGCTTCTTGCTGCTCGTCTTCTGGGGACGTCATGACATCAGTAGACCATTCCCAACCACGGCAGGCGGAGGTGACAAAGCAGGGATTAGAAAGGAATCCCAGAGGGATGATAGAGCCATGTAGGAAGTTTGAGGCAGGAAGCAATCCGCCAAGGTTGGAGAAGGCAGGCTGGGCAGAGAAGGCTCCGGTTTTGAAAACACAAGCCGTGCACTGCAGCAGAGAATCCTGGATGCCCCAGAGGACTCTGATCCCAGGCCAACAAATGTTCTGGAGTGGTAAGGAACAGGAGGCAGAGACATTCATGCAACTTATTTTTGGTCAAATCAATGCATTTCTTAGATTGGTTAAAGGACAGCATTAGAACCCGGTGCCTTTGGTGCTTTACACCTATCCTGTGTCCTTAAGGAACGTAAGAATGGCCATACTGGGTCAGACCAAAGGTCCACCTAGACCAGTGTCCTGTCCTGTAACAGTGGACAATGCCACTTGCCCCAGAGGATGTGAACAGATCAGGGAATCAAGTGATCCCTCTCCTGACATCCATTCCCAGCTTCTGACAAACAGAGGCTATGGACACCATTCCTGCCCATCCTGGCTAATAGGCATCAATGGACCGATCCTCTATGAATTTATCTAGTTCTTTTTTAAACCTTATTAAAATCCTGGTCTTCACCACATCCTCTGGCAAGGAGTTCCACAGGTTGACATTGTGCTGCATGAAAAAAACTTCCTTTTATTTGTTTTAAACCTGCTAAAGACATGATCTATCTGTCCAGAATACCCACATGGCAAAAATTCTGGAAGAGGCAGTGTTGAAACTACAGTGGGCGTCTGAAGTGTTAATATGGGCCCTGGGCCACTTGGGCATAGTTCTCGGGCACAGTTCTTGGGGTGGATGCTAGAGAGGCTTTGCACCATGGTTGTGCATAGGGACCTCAAGTCGAGGCCAGTTCCTGGACTTTGCTGAGAAACTAACTAAAAGCTTACATGCCAGGGATCAAGCAGCTGAAGCCCCTTTGCAGCAATCATGGAGCAGCCAGGTGGGAGTGTTGTCCTGGGCCTGGAACAACAGCTGGAAGATTTTACATTCTTTTCTTTTCTTTTCATGCCAGAAGCTTCCAGTCAGTTTCAGAACTAATGTAGCTTCCTTCTTTGGTTCTCTGCCGTGTTCCCTTCTAGTTCTTGCTGACTTAATACAATGTGACCTTCTTGTCCTACAGCTCTGTCCTTCTCTACAGATGCCTAGGTTTCTTGTCAGCTGTTCTGTAGACCCTCTGCTTGCTCCAGTGACTCTTCCCAACCCATCTCCTGACCACCCCTTGCAGCCAGTCTCCTCCACTCCTTTACTCTTCTCTGCCTCTTTCGTCTCACAGGACAATCATGCTTTAGTCTCTCCCGAAATATAAAACAAAACCTGCCTTTCCAGCTACGACCTCATCCTCCTTCTTTCTTTCACGTGAAAGCCCTCTGCACACACTTGACAATTGTTACCTGGTGTTCCTTTCATCCTAGTCCTCTCCCCCTTCATTCCATTGAAATCGCTCTTACCAAAATCTCAAGCAATCACTTCCAAGCTTAAGTTCAGATCTAGTACTTCATCCTCCTGCTCCTTTACCCGTCCCCTGACTCTGACCCTAGCAACTATGCTCCTCTTCTTGAAAACTTGTTCTCATGGGGTTTCCAGCCCTTCAATGTGTCCTTTGAAGGATCCTTTTAAGGACTTTAAATGGAGTAACTTACCATTAGAACAACCTACCAGAAATCATGGTGGATCCTTCATTTCTGCTAGGTTTTAAATCAAAATTGGATGTTTTAAATCAAAATAGCTCTAGGAATGATTTGAGGGCAGGTTTATGGTTGGTCTGATGCAGGAGCTCAGACCTGATAATCCTTGCAATCTGTGACTCTTGCCACCATCACCACCACTACCAACAACAACTTTCACTTCAAGCATCTGAGGAAGTGAGTTGTATGTCGTGAAAACTTGTGCCGTAATAAATGTGTTAGTCTCTGAGATGACACCAGACTCCTTGTTGTTTTTATCTGGTGAGTGTCTCCTGGCCTGTAGCTCTTGCTTTGATGATGCCTTGGCGTCTGTCATGCAATGGAGCTGCGGATGGCTCCTCACAGAATGGAAGTGATGTTGACTTTGAGCATTGCCAGGGTGATACAGGGGTTTCAGCTCTTTTGCCCACAACGTTACCACTGCAAATAGCAGAATCCCTTCCCCCGCCTATGAGGCTAGGCTAAAACCAGGCACGAGAGCAGTTGGGTCCTCGGGGAGGCTTTTCCTAGCACATGGAGCTTCTGGCACAGGGCATGCTAGGCAAGAAGGTGCATCGGAGTCACCTTCCCTTGACTGTACTTGGGTTTCCAATGCTCAGTAGTCAACCTGCCCTTTCAGGCAAGAGGCTTTTCAGTCCCATCCTACATGTTCTGGTATTCTCCTGAGTTATTTCAGCAGGGATTATTCCCCTCCAGTTTGCTGCCTCTGAGGTGATGACCCATGGAGAGTGTCCTGTCTGCGGTTAATCATTCCCTAGGCAGAAGGCTCTGGCTGACCATTGGCAAGGCACTGGGCCACAGAGCCTAGGAGAAGCCCAAAGTGAAGCAAAGTCCCGAAGAGCTTCTGAAAGGCAATTCTATTCACAGAAGGTTCCAAAATTTGGTTTCAATAGGAACAAACCCCCAGAATGTTTAGATTCTCCAAATGGGAATGGCACCCAGCTCTGGGCTGGTGGGCTGTAGACTGGGAGCCCCGGGTTGCCAACAACCCACCAGGCAGGTTGCCGCGGTATCAAGTGGGGAAGCTGGTAGAAAGCCAGGTAGGCTTCTCTCAGAACCGTGTCAAGTTCTGTCAGACCTTCAGCAAAACCAAACTGTCCATGGTTTTGTCAGACATTTTCTAACCAGCTCTGCTGCGCTCTGAGGGTGCGCCTACACAAAGCCATGCAATTTGTGCTACGCAAACTGTGTAGCTTATTTGGAGTGTATTTTGAAATAACTCGCTACTCTGGAATGCCCCTTAACCCTCGTGGAACGAGGGTTACTGGCATGTCAGAATAAGCTGCCCATTATTTTGAAATCTATTTTGAAATAACAGGCTGCTTCAATAGATGTGTAATAGCTTATTTTGGGATATTTCCAGTATCCCAAAATAGCTCTGCAGTGTAGATGTACCCTAACTGTTGTGGTATGTTGGAAACACTCTGATTCAGCACCTTTTGCAGGCTGCATTTGCTCTCTGATTCAGTGAAATAAATGTCTTCTGCTGGTAGGGTGAACAGCAATCTTGCTTCCTCTCAGCTCCCTTCCCTGGCCCCAGAGCCCGCTTGGTTGGATTTCAGGCCTAACACAAACCCTGTAACCCAAGAGCAATGAATCCTGCACAAAGATGCTGGCCTGTTCCCATTCTTAGGTTACAGCAAGCAGCTCTTAGGCAGATCTGCACTCAGCTCTAAGGGGCCTTGTCTGCCAGCAGCAGCCTTCCCTTCATTGCTATGTCTGGAGAGCAGCATTCTGCTTTGCGTTTTCTAGTCTGGCATGCCTCTCTGCACAGGCAGATGTGGTAGCACCTCGTAGGCTGGGTTAGTGTTTTCAGCCAGATTCTATGAGGCCCCATGAGGAGTTGCAGTTGTAAAGCCCCAGGTTCATTTATAGGATTCCCTTAATGAGAAGCAAACACGCCACAGAACAGTGGCTCCTATTTTGCTCCCACACATTGGGATGGGTTAGCTCTTGTGCTGCTGCCTAATCGCCTCTTTGCTCCACTTCCTGCAGTGGCTGAAGGATCCTGGCCCTCGTAACGAGAAGAGGACCCTCTTCTGCGACTTGGTGTGTTTCCTGTTCATTACTCCCCTGGCGGCAATCTCGGGTTGGCTGTGTCTCCGTGGTGCCCAAGATCACCTGCAGTTCAACAGCCGGCTGGAAGCCATCGGACTCATAGCACTTACTATTGCACTTTTCACTATCTATGTCCTTTGGACACTGGTGAGTGAGCTGCGCCATGCCGTGCAAACAATTCTGTCACCTGGTACGTGAGCCCAGGGCCCAGTTGTGAGTTATCATCCCTTGTGCCTGGAGCTCAGTTGTGGCCGAGTCGGCAGCTCTTCGATAGCTGCCCAGCCCAGAGCAAATTGTGGGCTCTTCCCACGAAAACAAATAAATGACATTTCACAATGTAACTTGCTGAGGCTATTGCCAAAGAGTTCCTGTCTGTGCCTGCCAATTCACTGCTTCTCAGCAGGTGTGCAGCGGAAGTCAAAAAAGCAAATAGGATGCTAGGAATTATTAAAAAAAGGGACAGAAAATAAGACACAGAGTATCTTACTGCCCCTTTATAAAACTATGGTATGCCCACATCTTGAATACTGTGTACAGATGTGGTCTCCTCACCTCAAAAAAGATGTTTTGGCATTAGAAAAGGTTCAGAAAAGGGCAACTATAATGATCAGGGATTTGGAATGGGTCCCATATGAGGAGAGGTTAAAGAGACTGGGACTTTTCAGTTTAGAAAAGAGGAGACTGAGGGGGGGGATATGATAGAGGTCTATAAAATCATGAGTGGTGTGGAGAGGGTAAAGAAAGAAAAGTATTTACTTGTTCCCATAGTATTAGAACTAGAGGACATCAAAATTAGTAGCAGGTTTAAAACTAATAAAATAAAGTTCTTCACATAGCGCAGTCAACCTGTGGAACTCCTTGCCAGAGGAGGCTGTGAAGGCTAGGACTATAACAGAGTTTAAAAAAGAGTTAGATAAATTCATGGAGGTTAGGTCCATAAAAGGCTATTAGCCGGGGGAAGGAACAGTGACCCTGGCCTTTGTTTGTCAAAGGCTGAAGATGAATGGCTGGAGACAAATCGCTTGATCGTTGTCTTTGGTCTACCCTTTCTGGGGTACCTGGTACTGGCCACTGTCGACAGACAGGATACTAGGCTAGATGGACCTTTGGTCTGACCCAGTATGGCCCTTCTTATGTTCTAATGACACTGGACTGCATTAGTAGGAGCATTACCAGCAGATTGAAGGAAGCGATTATTCCCTCTGTTTAGCCTGCTGGGGCCACATCTGGGGTATTGCTTCAGTTTTGGGGCCCCCACTGCAGAAAGGATGTGAACAAATTGGAGAGAGTGCAGTGGAGGGCAGCAAAAATGATGAGGGGGCTGGAGCACATGACTTATGAGGAGAAGCTGAGGAATTTGGGCTTATTTAGTCTACAGGAAAGAAGAGCGAGGGGGGATTTGATAGCAGCCTTCAGCTTCCTGAAGGGGGGTTCCAAAGAGGATGGAGAGAGGCTGTTCTCAGTGGTGACAGATGGCAGAACAAGGAGCAATGGCCTCAAGTTATGGTGGGGGAAGTCTAGGTTGGATATTAGGAAAAACTATTTCACTAGGAAGATGGTGAAGCGCTGGAATGTATTACTTGGGGAGGTGGTGGAATCTCCATCCTTAGGGGTTTTTAAGGCTCTGCTTGTCAAGCCCTGGCTGGGATGATTTTGTTGGGGTTGGTCCTGCTTTGGCCAGGGGACTGAACTAAATGACCTTCTGAGGTCTCTTTCCACCCTAATCTTCTATGATTCTCACATGCCCTTTTGGTGTAGTGTGTGCAGCATGGGCCGTAGAAGTGGACAGACCAAGTCTGACTTAGTATGGTGACTGGTATGGTTAGTGACGTGGGGAGAGAAGTAAGCCCAGCTTTTCTATGTCTTCCTGCTTTCAAATAAGAAATATCCCAGGATCTCGGCACTGGGACAAGCAATATTGTGGATAAAATAACTGTCCGAGACCACCTTGGAGCATAGGACTCTGCACTCCAGCCAGCCTGGTCTGGCTGTGTGATATATCAGCAAGAGCTAGTCAGGAGCAGCATTGCCATGGCAAGGAGGAAAAGGAGCATTAGCCTGTAGAATGGTCTGTGGGTCTCTCCTCTTGGAGATTGATGGGGTCACTGACATTCAAGTAGGAAGCTACCAAAGATTTCATAAAAGTTCTAAGAAAATGGCCAGGGGCCACAAAATGCTCTGTCCAAAAGTACGACCCCGCCCAACTGGCGGGAGCCTGCCCTCCTTTTCTCACTGGAGAACTTGTAGCTGTGAGTCTCTCATAGCAGAGCAGCTGAGTCTCACCAGAAGCACGCAGAGTCCGCTATTTAATAGAGCACCCCGACTGCTGCCTTGAAAGTGGCTGCTGCTGCCAAGGGAAACCGGCGCTGCCCCTGTTTCTGGGCTCTCTGCCTCAGGGGTGTATGGGGCAGCTGCCACTGTTTCTGGGCTCTCTGCCTCAGGTGTGTATGGGACGCTCAGGGCATTGTTACTGGGAACAGGTTCTTGCACACTCCCCACTTGCCCCTCTCCAGGGCATGTTGAGAATCGGTCTGCAATTGGCATCTGAAGGCCAGGGGGCACGTTGTATCTGCCTAACCCCACTTTCTAATGCTTAAAGAAGTGGCCAAAGTCTGTGGGATAGTCCTCAGCCTTCTTTGGTTGGAGCCTTCCCCTCCACACATGAATTCCTGCCCCTTTTCTTCACCGTTATGCCTCTCGCTGTGTTGTGGTTCCTCTGTTTTCTGTTCAGTTTCTCTGTGGGTTTGTGGATGTGGCTCTTTATTTAGTTTTTGTTCTGTCTCTCCGTCCCTTTTCTGCCCCCCAAACACACGTGCTCTCCGCTGCCGTATGCCCCAAAGGGAGAATATTGAAAGTGGATAACTGGTGTTCACAACTCTAGGCAGGCCCTCACAGGTGTGTTCCACTCCCCTTCAGCTTTGGAAACCCCCAGTCTGGGGTGAAAACTTAGCCCTAAACTCCCTACAGCCTCCTGCTTTGATAGTTTGTGGAGTCCCATGTCCATTGTCCCAGCCTGTGTCAGGGATTCCTGGTCCATTCAGTCACATGACCTGGCAAGCATCACGTGCTTCCCTTCTGGATTCCAGCTGAGTCCTGGGCTCAGCTGCAGGTCCCTCTGGGAGCAGGGCTGTTTGCAGAGGGGAAGGCCAAAGTGTAGTCATGAAAACAAGTTACTGCAAGAGCTTCAAAACCCCTGGGAGCAAGCTTGGCATTGCCTGCCTGTGGGACGGTCCTTCTAACCCCAGATCGAGTGCTCGGGGTCACTTGCACTGGTGCAAACCAAACCCAGCAAACTCTAGCCCAGGGATGTGCTCTCAGCAGCCCCACCTGTCTGCATTACAAGTTAGGGACAATTTCTGAAACTACAAAACCCAGCAGAACCCAAGACTGTGAATTTGCAGACAATCAGCGTAGTCCCTTAACCAAGGCCTGACGTGCTATCCTAGCCCTGTTGGCCCAGCTTGGCCTCCTGTGGCTTCGGTGGGGCGTGACAGCAATTTGCAGGGCAAAGGAAGGCTGCTGTCAGGTCTCTCTAGCTGGTCCCAGCTTTGTTCTGTGGGGTCCAGCCATTGTGTGCCAAGCCTAGGCAGCTCAGTAACCAGCCTGATGCTTTGTTGTCCCTCAGGTCTCATTCCGTTATCACTGCCAGCTGTATTCAGAGTGGAGAAGGACCAATCAGAAAGTCCGCTTAATGATTCCGGACTCCAAGAGCTCTCGCCCTGTTCAGCATTCCCTGCTCTCCACCCAGCTCCTGAAGAAGACGGCAGATGAAACAACTGTGTGAATTACCCCCTGCCAGGCATCCTCCAGTGGAGCAAGGTGAGGACCAGAGTGGCTCTCTAGGAGCGTCGGCAGAGAAGCAGATCGAGCTGTTTCCTGGGGACAAGGCATGTGGTGGCTGCAGGGATCTGGCAAAGCGATCATCCCAACACAAAGGGACTTGCTCTCAGCGCCAGCAAACAAACAGATGATAAGCATCTGGCTGCCTGCAATGGCCCTAAAGGGCTCTGAGTCCAGAGACAGAAGGCCAGAAGTGTTTATCTGCCAGAATTCTTTCTTGAAACAAAATACATTACTTGGGGAAAAAAATCCCTCTATATATCTATATATAAATACTATTTTTAATGGCCATGCATATTGTGTTTCAGTCCTTTCGTGTGGATATAGACTTGTTCTAAGCTTCAGTATAGAAGCTGGCAGCCTGATCTCATTCAGAGGTTGACTCTATGCCATGTCTCAAAATGAGCATCTAAAGATCCTTTCTCATTGGACATTGCTAACAGTCCCGGGCTCCTTTGCACTAAATGGATTTTGAGATCATTGCAGCAGGTTTTTGCCTTTGTTTTCTGTTGTGATGGTATTGTACCTATGAGAAGGTTGTGTGTGTGTGTGTGTGTGTGTTTAATAATGATTATAATCCCAGAAGGAGTAAAATGATATTATACCAAATGGAGACATTTTGTATTGTAAAATACTGTGATATTGAAATTTCACAATGTTTCAGAATATGAAAACTCTCACTTGAAACTGTGAGCTTATAAAATA